CACACTGACAGGTGCAGTGTCCCTGTGCACACAGTGACAGGTGAGTGTGTCCCTGTCCACACACACTGACAGGTGCAGTGTCCCTGTGCACACACACTGATAGGTGCAGTGTCCCTGTCCACACACACTGACAGGTGCAGTGTCCCTGTCCACACACACTGACAGGTGCACTGTCCCTGTCCACACACACTGACAGGTGCAGTGTCCCTGTGCACACAGTGACAGGTGCAGTGTCCCTGTGCACACACACTGATAGGTGCAGTGTCCCTGTCCACACACACTGACAGGTGCAGTGTCCCTGTGCACACACACTGACAGGTGCAGTGTCCCTGTGCACACAGTGACAGGTGAGTGTGTCCCTGTCCACACACACTGACAGGTGCAGTGTCCCTGTCCACACACACTGACAGGTGCAGTGTCCCTGTGCACACAGTGACAGGTGCAGTGTCCCTGTGCACACAGTGACAGGTGCAGTGTCCCTGTGCACACAGTGACAGGTGCAGTGTCCCTGTGCACACAGTGACAGGTGCAGTGTCCCTGTCCACACACTGACAGGTGCAGTGTCCCTGTCCACACACTGACAGGTGCAGTGTCCCTGTCCACACACACTGACAGGTGAGTGTGTCCCTGTGCACACAGTGACAGGTGAGTGTGTCCCTGGGCACACAGTGACAGGTGAGTGTGTCCCTGGGCACACAGTGACAGGTGAGTGTGTCCCTGGGCACACAGTGACAGGTGAGTGTGTCCCTGTGCACACAGTGACAGGTGAGTGTGTCCCTGGGCACACAGTGACAGGTGAGTGTGTCCCTGTGCACACAGTGACAGGTGAGTGTGTCCCTGGGCACACAGTGACAGGTGAGTGTGTCCCTGGGCACACAGTGACAGGTGAGTGTGTCGTCATCTGTTGCCGGGTAAATAAACATCATGTTTTTCACACAGAGGTTCATTGATCGGGACCAGAGCCGCTCCGGGGGCCCCTCCCTGGGCTCCGGGGGCCCCTCCCTGGGCTCGCGCCCACAGAGGGCCCACCCTGCCCGGGGACAAGAGCGGCCGGTGTCCCTGGAGCGGGCGGAGTCACGGGAGACGCCCAGACGTTTCCTTTTTGCTTTATTCAGAGAAACTGTGACTCAAAATGTTCCACAAAGTTTAAATCCAAATAAACGACTCAGAGTTCACCAAGAATCCAACACAGAGACTCAAGTGTGGACTAAACCAGGACTAAACCAGGACTAAACCAGGACTAAACCAGGACTAAACCAGGACTAAACCAGGACTAAACCAGGACTAAACCAGGACTAAACCAGGACCAAACCAGGACCTAAACCAGGACTAAACCAGGACTAAACCAGGACTAAACCAGGACTAAAACCAGGACCTAAACCAGGACTAAACCAGGACCAAACCAGGACTAAACCAGGACTAAACCAGGACTAAACCAGGACTAAACCAGGACTAAACCAGGACCAAACCAGGACTAAACCAGGACTAAACCAGGACTAAACCAGGACTAAACCAGGACTAAACCAGGACTAAACCAGGACTAAAACCAGGACTAAACCAGGACCAAACCAGGACTAAACCAGGACTAAAACCAGGACTAAACCAGGACTAAACCAGGACCAAAACCAGGACTAAACCAGGAAAACCAGGACCAAACCAGGACTAAACCAGGACTAAACCAGGACTAAACCAGGACTAAACCAGGACCAAACCAGGACTAAACCAGGACCAGGACTAAACCAGGACTAAACCAGGACCAGGACTAAACCAGGACTAAACCAGGACTAAACCAGGACTAAACCAGGACTAAACCAGGACTAAACCAGGAAACCAGGACTAAACCAGGACTAAACCAGGACCAAACCAGGACTAAACCAGGACTGAACCAGGACCGAACCAGGACTAAACCAGGACCGAACCAGGACTAAACCAGGACTGAACCAGGACTGAACCAGGACTAAACCAGGACCAAACCAGGACTAAACCAGGACTAAACCAGGACTAAAACAGGACTAAACCAGGAGTAAATCTAGTCTACCCCAGTTCTAACCCCAGTCTGTCTCTGGTCTGGTTCTGATCCCGGTCTTTGGTCTGGTTTCAGGTTCCTGTCCGGAGTCCTGGTCCTGGTTTTCTGGACACTGTTACCTGCTGCAGTCAGAGAGACTCACCTGGGCGGAGGCGGAGCTTAACTGCAGAGACCTGGAGGCTCACCTGGTCAGCATCAACTCACCTGAGGAACAGCGCTTTGTGTCAGGTACAGAACCAGGACTAAACCAGGACTAAACCAGGACTGAACCAGGACTGAACCAGGACTGAACCAGGACTAAACCAGGACTAAAACAGGACTAAACCAGGACAGGACTGAACAGGACTACCAGGACTGAACAGGACTGAACCAGACAGGACCAGGACTGAACCAGACTGCAGGACTGAACCAGGACTGAACCAGGACTGAACCAGGACTGAACCAGGACTAAACCAGGACTGAACCAGGACTGAACCAGGACTGAACCAGGACTGAACCAGGACTGAACCAGGAACCAGGACTGAACCAGGACTGAACCAGGACTGAACCAGGACTGAACCAGGACTGAACCAGGACTAAACCAGGACTAAACAGGACTGAACCAGGACTGAACCAGGACTGAACCAGGACTAAACCAGGACTGAACCAGGACTAAACCAGGACTGAACCAGGACTAAACCAGGACTGAACCAGGACTGAACCAGGACTGAACCAGGACTAAACCAGGACTAAACCAGGACTAATAAAGTTTCTGAGTGTCTTTTTTAATCTCACTGTGTTTTTATCTTCGTGTGGTCTCTGGTCTGGTCTCTGGTCTGGTCTCTGGTCTGGTCTGGTCTCTGGTCTGGTCTGGTCTGGTCTGGTCTGGTCTGGTCTCTGGTCTCTGGTCTCTGGTCTGGTCTGGTCTGGTCTGGTCTGGTCTCTGGTCTGGTCTCTGGTCTGGTCTGGTCTCTGGTCTGGTCTGGTCTGGTCTGGTCTGGTCTCTGGTCTGGTCTCTGGTCTGGTCTCTGGTCTGGTCTGGTCTCTGGTCTCTGGTCTCTGGTCTGGTCTGGTCCAGATCTGGGTCGGGTTTATCAGTGGATCGGACTCAACGACCGAGAAGAAGAAGGAAACTTCACCTGGACGGACGGATCTGCTCAGGTGAGGACAGGAGCGCACCTGACACACACGAGGAGGGACCTGACACACACAGGAGCGCACCTGACACACACAGGAGCGCACCTGACACACACGAGGAGGGACCTGACACACACAGGAGCGCACCTGACACACACGAGGAGGGACCTGACACACACAGGAGCGCACCTGACACACACGAGGAGGGACCTGACACACACAGGAGGGCACCTGACACACACGAGGAGGGACCTGACACACACAGGACACTGACACACACGAGGAGGACCTGACACACACAGGAGCGCACCTGACACACACGAGGAGGGACCTGACACACACAGGAGCGCACCTGACACACACGAGGAGGGACCTGACACACAGGAGGAGCGCACCTGACACACACGAGGAGGGACCTGACACACACAGGAGCGCACCTGACACACACGAGGAGGGACCTGACACACACAGGAGCACCTGCACCTGACACCTGACACACACGAGGAGGGACCTGACACACACAGGAGCGCACCTGACACACACGAGGAGGGACCTGACACACACAGGAGCGCACCTGACACACACAGGAGCGCACCTGACACACACGAGGAGGACCTGAACACACACACAGGAGCGCACCTGACACACCTGACACACAGGAGGACCTGACCTGACACACACAGGAGCGCACCTGACACACACACGAGGGGACCTGACACACACAGGAGCGCACCTGACACACACGAGGAGGGACCTGACACACTGACACAGGAGGGACCTGACACACTGACACACACGAGGAGGGACCTGACACACACGAGGAGCGCACCTGACACACACAGGAGCGCACCTGACACACACAGGAGCGCACCTGACACACACGAGGAGGGACCTGACTGACACACACAGGAGGCACCTGACACACACGAGGAGGGACCTGACACACACGAGGAGGGCGCACCTGACACACACGAGGAGGGACCTGACACTGACACACACAGGAGGACACCTGACACACACGAGGAGGGGGACACCTGACACACACAGGAGGACACCTGACACACACAGGAGGACACCTGACACACACGGGGAGGACACCTGACACACACAGGAGGACACCTGACACACACGGAGGAGGGCACCTGACCTGACACACAGGAGCACCTGACACACACGCAGGAGGGCACCTGACACACACGAGGAGGGCACCTGACACACACGAGGAGGGCACCTGACACACAGTGTGAAGTGTGGAGTTTTTTGTGTGTTTTTCTGATGTCGTCAGAGGAAAAGTCAGAAAACAAAAACTTCACCAACATTTTAAACTTCAGTGAATAAAACTGAACATGTCACACACACACAACACACACACACACACACACACACACACACACACACACACACACACACACACACACACACACACACACACACACACACACACACACACACACACACACACAACACACACACACACACACACACACACACACACACACACACACACACACACACACACACACACACACACACACACACACACACACACACACACACACACACACACACACACACACACAACACACACACACACACACACACACACACACACACACACACACACAACACACACACAACACACACACACACACACACACACACACACACACACACACACACACACACACACACACACACACACACACACACACACACACACACACACACACACACACACACACACACACACACACACACACACACACATACACACACACACACACACACACACACACACACACACACACACAACACACACACACACACACACACACACACACACACACACACACACACA